GGATGGAGAAAATAAAAATTTTATCCACCACATTTTAAAGAGTTAATTAATAGATTTTATCATAAATTTTATGTAAATTTAAAATGTAACGACTTCACACAAATAGAAAAACGTAATACATACTAGCTAATTACAGCATCTCCAATGCTACAATGTGCACGGTGCACATGTGGCATTAGAGATAGCCACATAAATATTAGCAAATAAAATATTTCTCTCATTATTTGAATGATTTTATACAATTTTGGTAAATTTTTCTCAACAATGTCAAGAATACAGTCTATATGTTGACATTGCAGAGAGAGAAGCTTACCAAAATCAACTTTGCTAGAGGTACCCCATTTGGTACCTCATTTGTACCCCTTCCTATCAAAATTGCTATAGGTACCCCACTTTTACCCCATTTTTACCCCATATAAAAACCCTCCCCCACTTTTCCTCTCTCCTCCCACCCTCCCCAACTTTTCTTCTCTCCTCCCACCCTCCCCCACTTTTCTTCTCCCCTCCTACCCACTCTCTTTCTTTTCAGGCAGCCCCTCCATCCCCTCCCCTTTCTTTCTCTTTTTTTAAAATTTTGATTTCTTCCTTATTTCAAGATCTCTTCCTTCATTACTACGTCTTGTTTTTTCTTTTCTTTTTTTCATATTTCCCCCCTCCAAGCTTCTTCTTCTGCTTCTCTCCTCTTCCGCCTTTTTTCTGTTTCAAATGCACGAGCTACAGTAATCGGACGAACGGGGAGAGCTCCGGTGATGTTGGATACATGGGGAGACAACAATGAAGGTGCAGACCAAAAAGTTTTGAATGACTTGAACAGGTCTTCTTCTCTTGATTTTTTGATGCGTTTTCGAAATTAAAAGAGTTGTCTGTCTGACAGACAACTTGTAAGTGCAGTGTCTGTCTGTCTGTAATTGATGGTTAATTGTTTTTCATTTGATTTGAGTTGTCTGTATTTGTTTTGAGTTGTTTGGATTTGTTTTGAGTTGTCTGTATGTAATTTGTGATGTTTATTTTTTGAGATGTAATTAGTATAACGAGACAGACATTAAATATACACATACAGACAATAAGTATACACATATAGACATTACTTTATTGTGAATTACCATTTTGACATATGTTTCATAAAAAAGACAGACAATACGTATAACTAGACAGACAATAGAGATAACCAGACAAACATTATTTTTCACCACAAATTACATACAACTCACAATGAAATGACAAACAACTAAACATGAGTTACAGACAACTTCACGACTCTTACAGACACTTCACAACAACATAACAGACAAGTCATTACAGACAACTCAAAACAAATACAGAAAACTAATAAACAAATGACAAACAATTAAATATCAATTACAGACATTTATTTTCAAAAGGACAGACAACTTCACGACTCTTACAGACACTGCACTTACAAGTTGTCTGACAGACAGACAACTCTTTTTATTTCCAAAATACATCAAAAATCAAGAAAACAAAATCAAGTAAAGAATATTTGTTGCTCGAATTATTCAAAGCTTCTTGGTATGCCTTCGTCGTTGTCTTCCCTTGAGGTTGCATCCAAAATGGCAACCAACATATGCCCGTCGTCGGCAACCGGCGTAGGGTCGCCGTCGACAACATCACCGGTGGAAGAGGAGATAAACAGGAGAAGATCGGAGGTTGAAGGGGGGAAGATGATAAAAATGGGAAGTTTTAAAGAAGGGGAAAGATATTGAAATGGAGAAGAAAGGAGAAGGAAGGGGGGTACGTGAAAAAGCGGAGAGAGAGGGAGGGAGGAAGAGAGGTGGGGTGCAGGAGAGAGGGAAGAGGGAAGAAGAAAAGTGGGAGTGAGTTTTTATATGGGGTATAAATGGGGTAGGGTTTGGGGTGTCTATAGCAAAATTGCCCTTCCTATATGTATGGTTCATAAAAGCCCAACACATTAAATGAATTGCTCCATTTTAATGGGGTGCCTTTGTGAACCACACATATAGGGAGGGGGTACAAAATGGGGTAGCAATAGCATTTTACTACCAAAATGGTGCCTTTGATTTTGCACCTCATTCTACTTAAAATTCATTTGACTTTGCACCCCATTTAGAATTTTTTTTTCACAAAATGGTATGTGTTGGGGTGCAAAGTCAAAATTTTTTAAAAATGTGATGCAAAGTCCAATATCACCCAAAAATTGGGGTGCAAAGTCAAATTCTCCCTCTTATAAAAAGAAAAATATTATGGAGTACTAGTTAGAGAAAAAATGAAAGCTAAATAAGCATAATATTTACCCAAAAAGATTGGACAAAGGAAGATAAGATATATAATACGCAGTATAACCAGTACTCCGTAGGCTTGGACCCGGTTCGGGCCACCCGACCTGGCCCGGTACTGTGCCGGCCCGGCCCTGGAACCGGTTCCGGGTCTAGGCCCGGTTTGGGGGGGTTATCCGGGGCGGGTACGGGCTAGATAAAATCCGAACCGCCAGCCCGGCTGGGCCCGGGTCCGGTTCGGGCCTAAATTCTTTTTTTTCAGTTTACTTTTGCTTCCTTCCGGGTTGGGCTGAGTCACCAGGGTGTTTTGACCCGATTTGGGGGGTGGGGGTGGGGGTCAGGGAGTAGTTAGGAAAGAATTAAAAAAATATTATAACTGGCCCAGCCCGGACCGGACCCGGTGGATACACAAAGTATTTAAGTTTAAACCATATAAACCCTGCAACTCCTAGGCTTCTAGTTTCCTTATAACACATCAATATTTACAGATACGCAGACCCGTCACAGAACACATATTCTCATGCAAAAGATCTTACTTTTTATAAAAAGAAAGATATAATTACTTAGAGACAAAATGAAAGCTAAATAAGCATAATAATTACCCAATGAGTGATTAAATTTTTAAATGGATAATATAAAACTGTAACCTAAAACAGGTTTGTAAAGCTGACAAGACAATTATTCATATTTTATGTGCAAAGTGACCGATTTCCCTCTACGCTTTTGAGCGCAATCACGTTAAATGCAAACCTTGAATTTGCAAATACCTGAAGCCCCCAAAGTTAAGAGGTTAAAGAAATGCATGGGAACAAATGCAAACATATTTCTCAGCATGTACAAGCATTGTCATTGCGGTTCCTAAGATTTATGGTAAACTAAATGATGAAGCATTACACGGCATATCTCGTTATCCTTAAAGTCTAAACTCCATAGTAGTAAGAAGACAATTAAGATTGATCAATACAACAAAGGATGCCAACTTTCATGTACAACGCGTTTGAGGATGCAAAACACTCAGCAGTGCAATTGAAAAAGGCTTACATGTTTACTAAGCCTAAACATTTATTTATTTCCTCTAAGCTTTGCACCAAGAGCTCTCTCCAGTTTACCAATTATCATCTGATTTGGAATTGCTTTTCCAGATTCGTAATCCTGAATGACTTGTGGTTTCTCATTTATCGCCTGTAAAAACAAGGAGAAAGAATCAGAGCACTACTCAACAGTACGCTTTCGCACAAGGCCAAAACAGGCATTCTTTGTTGATTTGTGAGTGTGACCAAATAAAAAGAATAAGGCACAAAGATACCTGAGCAAGCTGAGATTGGGTCATTTTCTTGTCCATCCGAACTTTGGAAATAGCTTTCTTCATCTCAGTAGGCACCGTAGGAACTGAGACAAAAATACCAATTAAGCAGTGAAAAAATTGTATTACTCCCATTACTTCATTAAATTTATTTCATTTTTTTTCATTTCCAAAAGTGTTCATCTCAAATATCCATCTCATACTATTTTTTGTTGTACTTGTGTTGCTCAAAATCATTCATGATTTACAAATTAAATACTATCGTACTACATATCACTACCATGATTTCTTTTTTCTTAACTTTTGTGTTACTTACGAACTTAATGGAATGGATGGAGTGCAATTGGCACCAGAAACAAATGCAAGAAAACATCATTTCTAGGAAAGCAATAGAATATAATGAAGATAGACATAAATTGCAGCACAACAGGGTAAAAACTCTCAGAAATTAAAAAAGAAGTAGATGTATGATCTCAGTACTTCATTTCCAGGTGTAAAGATCCTAGGTAGCAAGGATGTTTCAAAATGCCCGAATGATCCAAATGTCACCGAGTACACGGCACAAACCGCAACCCACATAATTTTATCATAAAAGCAGTCGACAATATGGGACATAGTTATGTAACAACTAAGACACAGTTGAGACACAAGCTTTGCTACTTTTTATTTTTTACAAGATTTCAAAAAAAAAATAAGATTTGCTTTTAAAGAAAAAGTTCACAACTTTGTAACATCTAGTTTTCATAAAAAAAAATATTTTGAAGAGAAATTCACAGATAAAAGAGATATATAGATGATAGACAATTTAACAAGTCCTCACAAGTGCACGAGTCGCGGTAGTATAATGCACAAGTAAGGGTTGAATCCACGGGGAAAATACAACTAAGTAATTGGAAAACTATTAATAAAAATAAAAGTGAAATTAATCTAACTACAAAAATTAGTTTTGAGTTTGTTTGATTTGAAACTGAAAAGCGAAGCTTGAATTAAAATGGATGCAAGGAATTTAAATGAATAAAAATAAAGTGATTGAACAACTAACAGAGAATTGATTGAGAACTTAGCAAAGAAAAAGATAGTCCAAGATTATGAATCAGTCGCTAATTTTTAGTATTTGTGATTTAGTTGGTCAATTAGAATTGAGGGTTCGTTCTAGACATTAATATGACTATTCCGTATGGCGTCCAGAATAAGTCACGTACTTTAACTATTAATTAACAGGAAATTGTTAATTCAATAGTTAAAATCCATTAATCACAAAAGAACTACGGAAACCCGATTTAAGAACCAAATAGATAACCTAACAAGACAGCTAAATTATCTATTCTTTTATCCAAAAGAGCTCGAACTAATAGGCATGGCACGTACTCTATTAATCCACTCAAACAACTCAATCAATCACGCTAAAATTGGCCAGAAGTTAACATAATCAATTAAGCGAATAAGAACAATGGATAAAACTCAATTAATTGGCCTAACTAGAATCACAATTCATACTAAATCATAGCAACTTCATCATAATCATGGACACAAGAATTTAGCTACTCATACTCAAATAGAAAACTAGTAAAACCGTAGGAAATAAAGGGTTCATCTTAACAATAAAGAAATTAAACGATTGTGCCAATATTCAAATAATTAATAGTGTGTGAATCAAGAACATGAGGGGTTGCCTCTGATTCAAACCAGCGTCTTCTTGAACAGTGAATGATTCTTTCCCCATAATTTTTGCAGCCTGAAGTCCAGTGTGTCGTCCCTCAGGTTCCTTCTCACAATTTTCGTCCTTGTTCTCTGTAGAGCAGTTCAGCGGCCTCCGTCCGTCCGGCCTCAGCTCCACACTTCTGGCCGCCAGAATTCCCCTGCTGCGTTCTCCTTCCAGTCCGCTTATTTTCTTCTTAAAAACCCCCGTAATAGATGGAGCTGAACGAAAATTAGAGCAGCCCCTAAACCCTCTCCAGCCTCTTCTTTGTTCTTGGGCTTTTTTTTGTCCTTTTCTTTCTCTTTTTGGGTTGATGGTGCGGCTCTATAAGTCTGCACTCCTTTAATTTGGACTGGATCTTTTTTCTCTTGTGATTGTTGGACTCCAACTGTAATTTTCTTTTGCTATTGCCGTACAAATTAAGAGGGGTAATCCTCTTTTTCTTTTTGACGTTTGCTGGGCAGGAGCCTTTCTCCAAAACAAAAAGTATTTGGCTCACTTCTTTTTATTTCTTAACAATCCTTGGAAAAGGAAAAATCTCCACAAATCAGTCCAAAAGTCCTCAAATCCTTCAATTAAAGTTCTCACCTGTAAAAATCATTTTTATCACAAAATATAACTCAAACCTCTCAATTAGGTAAATATTGAGCTTAGAATTGTAATAAAATAATATAAAAATGAAGCACAAATTCTAGCTCATCAATAGAGGTAATAGCACTCTTACGAGACAGATTCTTTGTGTCTTCATCAAGCTTCCTTGTGTTCAGAGATCAGAGATGTAGAACTGGATGCAGCCTTGTTTGTACCAGCAGTAGCTGCAGAGTATAGAATAAGCATGTGACCATATTATATTATTTCCCACCCAAACACTAGTATTGAGTTAAAGAACCACATGTAGGGTAGTGTATCATCACATGATGGAACGATGAACCAAGCACTTTGGGTTCTCCACAGCCTTATTTTCTTAGATTAACAAGTCCAAGAAAGGATCTCCACACAATAGACTTGTAAAGAAACATCAAACAAGATACATAGATGAGAACTTTTTCATGCAACAGAGTGATGACTCTTATTTTCTTAGGTAAAAAAGAGTCCAAGAATGGATCTCCCCACACTACTACTTGCAAAGAAGCATCACACAAGATAGGTATAAAATGCTTTACGAAACAGAGTGACATAAGATGAATAACGTTTAACATATATGACCAACTCAAGAATTGGGAAACTTGCATGCATCATCACTTTGACCATATTCAATTTGGCAATAAATTATATTTTATGTACTTTTTTTCATATTTGAAACATTCAACCATGTAATCAACTTCTAATTTTAGAGGATAGAGCCACTTTAACCATTGTGTCTGTGTGAAGAAATTATCTGAAAAAACTTACTACCTCCGTCCCTGAATTTACTTCCAAAATAAAGTGGCACGCGGATTAAGAAAGTGGGAATTGTGTGGTGGAGAGTTGTGCAGAGGAGAGAGAAATGAGAGAAATGCTGAGAACCACAAATTCTTTGCCAAAAAGGGAAAGTGAAGTTCTTTTTGGGACGGACCAAAAGGGAAAGTTGGAAGTATTTTCAGGGACGAAGGGAGTATATAGTTATAAATTGTCCATAGTTCATACAGACAATTGTATTGCCTCTGGGCATACATTGGTTAGTTGGCTCACACACATTGGTTTACACTAAAATTTGATAATACACACTATTAGATATATTTAATGTGACTAGTAACAATAAATTAATGATAAGGCAGGGTTCATATTTGGAGTCAAGAGTCTTGAGTGACTTTTATTATACACAAATATGAGAAACTTTTACTAATCTACAGATAGTAAAAAATTAATTCTCATATACAAGAAATTAACTCTAGTTCTGTTAGGACTTATCTCTAGCCTTAGTTTAGGGTGCTTGAAATCTGGGCTAAATTAGTTTCACACTCATTGATAAGAAACAATTAACTTTTCGAAGATTCACAGGTAAATTGATCAATTTCGCAGACTGCTTAAATTTCATCTCAGACAACTGGTCTTAAGAATTGAAGAACTTTCCCATATCTAATTCAATATCCAAGAACATTCATTAACCTTATTTATCCAAACTCAAATCCAGGAGAATTAGCATATCATAATTATCGAGAAACTAAAACAATTCACAGAAAACAGTAACCTAATCAATGAGTATAATTAAAACTGAAATCCGAAGTAATATCCATTATCTGATTAACTCAAGTGTAAATTGGAAGAGTGCAGTGATGTGTATTATCATCTTTTTCTACCCTAGACAGGAAATCTACTCTTTTGTTCAGATATCAGGAAAAGTGCATGCTTTCCATCAATCCACTCAATCTCGATTGTTTTAAGCAATCGCACTAGCGGCTCTGCCATGTCGCTCTTGCTGTCGCTCGTCAACATTTAGTGGATGATATTTTGCAGGGGCACATATCTGGGTCCGAGACAAAGACAAAAGGGCAAATAGTCTTCAAAATGTTTTAAAACAGGTCAACATGAACAACTTGTATTAATTGGCAAGTTATTTATAAAATGTATAACTTGTACATCTACTGAGCACATAACAGATGTACCTGTATCAATTTGAAATAATTCAGAACACACAAATATCTCTTCAAGGAATTGGAGTAAAGAGCGAGTATATCATAATCATCTGGCACTGGAGATACCTTTTCTCCTCTTGACAAGTTCATACATTAATGTAATATATGTTGACTTTGGTACAAAAGAGCCTCTCTTGGTAAGTTGTCCAAAGATATGCATTGCATCCTTATATCTCCCTTGAGCACAAAGCTCATTAATCTCTTCTGAGTCAGCAATACAGCTCGCTTCCTGTTCCGTTGAACATTCACCCTTTATGTCTTCTTCCCCACTTATTACCGCAACAGATTCTTTAAATGAAACTCTAGTCTCATTATATTTTGACATGAACTCTTCTGCTTCCCTTACCCTTCCACTATCACCAAGTGCTCTAACAACGGCACTATAAGTGTAACTATCCGGCCCGAGTTTCTTCACTTCCATTTCAGAAACAAGGTGGAGAGCATAATCAAGCCTTCCATCCTTACATAAGGCCCTTATAAGAGTGTTGTAAGTTACAGAATCAAGCTGTTTCCCTTTATCGATCCATGTGTTGAAGAGATTAATGGCCTTCTCAATCATTCCTTCCTTACAGAGTCCCAAAAGAAGAATGTTGCATGTATACATGTCTGGTTTGAATGAATCCTCAACCATTTTGTTGCTAAATTGAAATGCTCTCCTAACATTTCCTTCCCAACAATACCCATGGATGATAGTGTTGTACGTAATCTCATCAGGCACTAAACCCTGCTCCAAAAGTTCATTGAATTTGGCAATGGCTTCCTCAGTTTTACCTGATTTGCATAGGCCAGAGATTAGAGAGTTGTATGTGACTAAACTTGGAAATATATCTTTTTCTTTCATCTCATCCCAAAGCTTAAGAGCATTTTCAACATTTGCGTTCTTGAAGTAGGCGACAATCAAAATTCCATAGCTCACTTCATCAATAATATAACCACATTTACGGGCACTAGTAAGCAACTCATAAGCCTCGTTAAGCTTCGCTTCCTGGCATAGTGTGTTCAAGACCGTATTTAGAGTCACCGTCTCCATTTTCAAACCCTTTTGTCCGATTTTGTTTATTATTTTAAAAGCCTCGGCAAGATCCCCTTTTTTACAAAATGCACTTATCAAAGTATTGTATGAAACACAATCTGGGTGAAACCCACTCTCCTCCATTCTATGAACAGTGTCTGTAGCATCATTTAATCTCCCTTCCTTGCAATACCATTTGATTAATATGTTATAGGTAACTCCGTTAGGTTTTAGCCCGTTTTTCCTGATTTCTTCCAGTAAATCAAAGGCTTCAGAACTCATCCCAGCTTCAAAACAACCATTAACTAGTGTATTATAAGTTACCACATCAGGTAACAACTTCAAGCCAGTCATTTCCTCCCGAAGTCGAAACGCCTCCAAAATCTTCCCTGAGCTACAGAAACCATTAATCAACATGTTATAGGTCCAAACATCAGGCAGTGTATTGCTCCTTGTCATCAGTTCAACAACCTTGGCAGCTTCCTTAATACAACCAGCTCTACAATAACCGCTTACCAAAATGTTGTAAGTATTCTTGTTTGGAAGAAGCCCTTTATTCTTCATATTCAAGAGCAAATCACGGACCTCTCTTAGCCTACCCTTCTTGCACAGTGCGTCTAAAACAGTATTATAGCTCACGTTATCTGCTCTGCACCCGAACTCATCCATCTTATCTAACAATTTAATTGCATCATTACACTTGTTCTCTACACAATGCCCGTTGATTAAAATGTTAAAAGTCATGGTATTTGGAGCTAAACCTAGCTTAAGTGCATCATTAAGCAATTCTTTACACATACGCATATTGTGGGCAGAAGGGTACTTCACCAGGGAATTGAGGAGAGTGTTGAGGGTGAGCAGCTTCGGGCGCAAACGGTGTCGCTTCATTTTTTTGAAAAGCTGAACGGCGAGATGCGGGCGGCGGCATTGGCAGTAAGCACCGATTGCGGTGTCCAGCAGAGCCCTGGAGGGCTTAGGAAGCGCGCCATCCGGGTGGAGAAGGTGGGTGTGGAGCTCGTTGGTGGGGTGATCGGAAGGGATGAAATTGAGGAGGAGGGATTTGGCATCGGCAAACTTACTGTCGGAGACGAGAGAAGAGAGGAGGTGAAGAAGGTAGGGGAGGGGAGGTACTTGGCCAGAGACGAGAGAGGGGAGGAGGTTTGAAGGTTTTGGCGAGATTGAGGCCATTGCTCTGTTTCATCTGTTAAGGGTTCCCTGGATGCTTTGTGTTCAATTCTGAGGAACGGCTATAGCTCTAACAAAGAGAGAATGTATTGAACTGGAGAAGATGATGTCTTTTGCCGTACCTCTGAGCTTTCCCTGTTTTTACTGGGTAACGGGTACCGGGCGGAAAATACCCGATTCATGTAAACGGGTAATGGGGCGGTTATGGGTTTATACCTACCCGCCCCGTTACCCGCCCTATTACTCGCCCCGTTTAATTTGGATACGGTTACCTGCACCATTGCCCGACCCGCACAATTAACTTATATATTTTAATAGTTTATGTATTTATTATTTAATATATTAAGTATATATGAGTAGTATGACATTAGTATATGACACGTATTCCCTCTAATACTTTGAAACAATATTCAATTTATTGGCTATATATCCTTTGCAATTTAAATTTTGAAAGTTCAATATCATTCATCATCCTTCCTCTGTTAACTTCTACAAGATTTATTTTCTTCACACATTGATTATTTGATTTTCTCTACGCAATTTTCACATTGTGACTCTTTTAATTTTTCACCCAATAACTTTCATAAAAATCACGTATGAGTTTAAAGTCCAAACATTTTAGATTACTCTACCTTGCTTTAATTTATGTAATTGCTAATAATTTTGTAGAGGTGTATGGATGATTAAATAAATTTTGATTGGTTGCTATAAATTATATCAAGCTTTAAATTTTAAATTATGATTTTGTGGTACTATTTAATTTTGGTTTTTAACTCTATTTAACTCTATCTGTGGACTGTGGTACTATTTAATTTTGTTTTTTTAATTTAGGTGGTTAATGATAAGTAGTTAATCATCATTTTAGGATTTATACTAATTTTGAAGGGAAAAAATTATTTTTTTAATAAAACGGTTACCCGCGGGGAAACCGTTACCCGCGGGGAAAACCGTTACCCGCGGGTATAAAATACCCGACGGGTAACGGGGCGGTTTCGGGGAATTTTTTTTATCAAACGGGGCGGGTACAGGTAATGGTATACCCATCCCCGAACCGCCCCGTTGTCATCCCTACCTATCCAGCCATTTCCCTTGCTATTAAGAGATTTTTGGATAATAATAATAAAACATAAAATTTTACCTTGCAAAAAAAAACATAAAATTTTAAATTAAAAATGATAATAAATGTAAATAATAAGGAGTAAATAAAAAATATATAGGTCTCAATAATCTCAACCACCTTCCAACACCGTCACCTCCCATCATCGGAAAAAATCAAGTTACCAAAAAATGTCATGGTGAAGGAAGTTTTGAAAACAAACTCGGATATTTTCGAAGAGTAAAAAAGTGATACTCATTACATTTTTAGAGAAATGTACTCCCTCCGTCCCATAAAATTGTTCCCGCATTGACTTGGATCGGAGTTTTTAAAAGTGGGAATAAAGTGGAAATGTATGATTGTGGTTGTGTAAGAAAAAGGTAAATGAATGTGAGTCACACAAAACTTTCCAAAAGGAGAAATGAGAACTATTTTGTGGGATGGACCAAAAAGGAAACCGGGAACTATTTTGCGGGACGGAGGGAGTAACATTGTGTATATAAGATGACATTATTTTCGACGGTCAGAGGTGACGGTGCTGAGAGGTGAAAGATGCCTGCATTTTTCAAATATTTATAGGTATTAAATTATTTATTATAATTTTGTATTTATTTATTTATTTGTTAAAATTTTCTTATTCTTGTTTTTTATAAACATTTGTGTGATTCTTATGTTCCTATTATAAATAAACCTATTATTTTGTCGCTAATAGAATAAATTTTATTTGGGAGAATAAAGATCAAACTCAAATGGAGTTTTACTTAAATGGTAGTTGTATGTTTTGATTTTGAGTTCGAATACACTATCATTTTGATTGTGAGAATTGATCTTTAATATTGTTGTATTCATTCAAATAGTTGAATCTGTACGAAAGAACACAAATGATATACTGTACTCGTATTACTTAGGATAGAAAGAGGCAAATTACTTACTCATATTCGCCTCTGCTTGAAACTACACACTAAGGATGTTTTACATGGATTGTTTTCAGTCTCAGATCAGACCTGAACAATTATAAAATACACAGAGACCAGACATTTACCAGACCAGTTCAGACCAGACCAGAATATTCTAGTCCGAGTAAAAACACCCTAAGTAATCGTACCATAAAGGAACACCTGAGGCAAATTACTCCAGGTTCCTTACTTGTGACTAGCTTAGTCTAGAAGCTAAGCTTAAATAACCCTATTCAGCAGGTATGACTACATATTCAATTGATTGGCATGCGCTCAGCTTAAATATTTCATGCTCGTTATATATTGGGGGAAATTTTCATATGCCGGAAGTAATTCCTTAGGATAGCGTCTGACGCGTTTCGAGTCACTAATATATTTTTAGTTCTTTTTAGTGATAATTGATAAGCACAACAATTATCTATATTTATTATAGGTAATTATGATTATCTGTACAAACATTCAATGATAAAACATGTAAAAATCTCAATTTGAGCAAAACCACACTTAGGCGTTAAAAATGAAGAAACGGAAGTCAACAAGAAAAAAAGGGACCAAGAACCGGCACCTCGGGGTCAACAACGGGCGTCAAACGGAGCGAAAAGCGAAGAAAATGCAAAATGGGGATAACCGGCGCCGGTCCACCCTATAACCGGCGCCGGTCCGTCGGTTTTTACATGTCGCCACTATCCAGTAGCTTAACCGGCGCCGGGTTGCCCTTATAACCGGCGCCGGTTAGGCCAATTTTTCTACTTTCCCTGCGCGTAATGAAGAACCGGCGCCGGTCGGGTCTGAAACCGGCGCCGGTTAGGTCTGATTATGCATAAAACACAAGGACGTGCAACAATATTTTGATGGGAAAACTTCACCTTCTTCATGATCTGATCAAATATATCTTCCATGCCTAATTGTTGGGGTCGAATAGACTAAAAGATGTCAATCTTTAACCTATATAAAGCCCCCAATCATCAAACAAGATCATCAATCCATCCTTGAAGCTTAAATTTCAATTTTTATATTTCCTTTTTGCATTCTCTTGAAGGGTTGGAGAATAAGCCATTTCTCTCCTCTACAATTGGTTCTAGGTATTATTTCTTGTATGTTATTGTATTTCATTGTTCTTAGTTACACTTTTGTAATTAATATGAGCATTAGAGGCTAAGTCATTGGCTAAAGCTAGGGATGAACTTCTATGCCCACTAGGTGTTTGATAAAAGTTCTAAACTAATAAATTGTGATTTATCCTTTACATTTTGATTGTTTATGACTATGGTGTACAACATAGAAGTATGTTAAATTTAGTTTATGCTTGCAATTAACGTTGAAGTCTAAACTATGAACATTAAAGGATAAACATATATATTACCGAGAATAGAAATATATCCGGTATTATATGATAGCTTTCATTTCTAAGTATTACACACCCACAGTGACTCAAGAGCTAAGACAACAAATCTTCAACTTCAAACAACAAGTTGGGGAACTTTTCCAAGATGCATGGAGGCATTTTAAGGCCTTATTGAAGGAATGCCCACATCACGGCATTCCCCTCAATCTTCAAATAGATACATTCTACAATGGTTTAAACTCTTCATGTCAAGCCATTGTAGACAACCGTGCGGAGGGCTATATTGGCAATAAAACTGAAACAGAAGCATTGAGAATTCTTGAATCCATTGCTTCAAATCATCAATTACAAGGAGGAGATGTCAACTTGGCCGGTGTGAGTGAGGTGTCTATAGCTCATGAATAAGACAAGCGGTTTGCTGATTTTCAACAAGACATGCACAAAGATCTTCAAGCTTCTATTCACACGGCTCTACAAGTCGTGATCGGAGGGGCTAGTCAAGTGGCAAATGTGGAAAGCATAGCACAACTGGAAGGCAATTCACCTCAAACTCTTGAAGAAGTGAATCATATGAACTCGTATGGGAATAGGGGGAATCAAGGAAGCAACAACTATTCCAACAATCAACAAAGGTTTAACCAAGGTCTTGGAGACCACAATGAGGTCCTTCTGACCCCCATCCAGTTTTGCACAAGAGCAAAAAGAGCAAACAATGGAGGAGATGATGAAAGCCCTCACTCAAAATGTTGTGGCTATAAAAGCCCAAATTGAGGAGAATCATAGTAGAGTGGAGGTATCCATTGGGAATCTCCACTCTTAATTCAACAAGTTGGATCTTCGTTTTGAAGATCAAAATATAAAGCTCAACTAACGCATCGACACCATTGAGCAATACAACAAGGCATCCATCCAGAATCTTGAAGTCCAAATAGGGCAACTTGCCCAAAAAGTAAGTTTTAGGGAGCAAGGCAAATTCCCTACAACCACGGAGATGAACCCAAGAGAGAATGTGATGGCCATTACCACAAGGAGTGGTGAGACAACGGAGGGCCCGGAAATGCCGGAAGAGGAGGAGACTCCGGAAAAGCAAAAAGATGGAAATGAGGAGCATATGATGCCACCATCAAATATGGCTAATTATGTTCCTCCCATTCCATATCCTCAAAGATTGAAGAAGAAGAAGAAGAAGAAGAAGAAGAATGATGCTCAATATAGAAAATTCCTTGATATTTTTACTAAATTGAGCATCAACATTCCATTTGTCGAAGCTATAGTGAAAATTCCATCTTATGTCAAATTCTTGAAAGGCATACTCTCAAACAAAAAGAAGTTGGCGGAATTTGCTACCATTGCCCTTGCGGAGGAATGTAGTCCTATTCTACAAAACAAACTCCCTCCGAAATTGAAGGATCCCGGAAGCTTCACGGCGCCATGTTCTATTGGCAAGATTGGAGAGGTAAGATCCATTTGTGATCTCGGTGTTAGTATCAACCTCATGCCTCATTCCCTATTTAAAAAGCTTGGTGTGGGGGGACTTCAATCAACTACCATAGCATTACAACTTGCGGATAGATCAATTCGCCACCCTATTGGAGTTATGGAGGATGTGCTTGTCAAAGTTGGGAAATTCAATTTTCCTGTGGATTTCCTTATCTTGGAGATGGAAGAAATGAAGATCCCAATTATTCTTGGAAGGGCGTTTCTAGCCACTACAACCGCC